CAGTAGGGCACATTGCGCGGCATTTCGTGAACTGTGTAGATCCACCCAGACAGATGACGGCCCTCTGCACTCCTCGTGTTACGGATTCATGCATAAAATTACCTCAATGCTTGTGGCAGCCCAACCCCTGTTACATAATGGTTCTTTCCGGATCTGATTCGGTTCATGTGCACACGTCGTGCGCATTCGCCATGTTCTTCAGGAGCAAAGATGGCCGCCTGTCGATGTAAAGATGGTCCATGTGTACATGTAGCTCCAAAAGTGTGCCCAAAACTCCACATTTCTGTCCTATGATGTTCAGCTCTTCAATGTCTATCGGAATCGTCTTCATTCAGCGATCAAAGTAATGATACTTTTGTAGTAATTGCGCGATATTACAGTGAACTTCGTATATGGAATTCTTCCCGTTTGTACAAATAAAACTGTGAACCACTATGTTCAAGGTAAGCAGCGGAGTGGATCATTCTTAGAACTCTTTTTTGCAGTTTCAGTATTCTATTGGTTAAACTAACCCCACAATTACCCCAGGCTAATATCCCATATGTTAAGTACGGTACAATTAAAGTATTGTAAAGTTTAAATAATACATCCTATGGGAGAAGCGGCTTTAGTTTACATATACATTGTAACTCCAAAATTTTTTTAAACAGTTGTGCAAATACTATTGATTTGTTTTTTCCATGAAATATTCTGTTCAATATACAGACCTAAGAATTTGACACAATTGGTTTTATCAATTTGTACATCATCAATAAAGATTTCAGGTATTTCATGATGTTACTTTTTACTAAACAGCATGTATATATACATGTTGTTAGTCTTCTTAATATTAAAGAGTCAACCTATATGCTTTAAGCCAGTTTGAAACTTTAGTAAGCTCAAAGTTAACATTACGATAAAGGGTATTAATATTAGGGTGACTATAGAATAGGTTACTATCTTCGGCAAATAAAATAAAAGGAAACAAAGCGGAAGATTAAACAAAATCATTAATACAGATGGAAAATAAAAGTGGTCCCAGAATACATGTAGATCCTTGCGGAACTCCATGAGAAACTGTACTGACCGAGGAGTGAGAACCATAAACAGAGACGAACTGCTGTCAATTTGTAAGGTACATGTAACTCCTGAACCACTCCAAGGGAGTTCCTCTAATACCATAATGAGCAAGTTTGTTTAAAAGTACATTATGATTGACTGTATCAAAGGCCTTGGACAGGTCTAGGAATAAACCAATTGTAACAGAAGATACATCTAAATTATTATTTTATCAATCAGATGAATAATTGCATGTGAAGTTGAGTGGTTTTCACGGAATCCAAATTGAGAGTCAGAAATTATGTCGTGTTCACCTAAAAAGTCCATTATACGGTTGTGAATAATTCGTTCGAGAATTTTTGAAAAGATAGTAAGAACGGAGATGGGCCTATAATTATTAACTTGATCAGGATTACCACTTTTAAAAATAGGAGTGACACGAGCAACTTTCATATCATTTGGTACCACACCTGTCGATATAGATACGTTCATAATAAAGGTTAACGGTTTGGAGTTTGCCCGAATCACTTCCTTAACCAGTGAATTACTAATTAAATCAAAGCCAGAGCTCTTTTTGTTGGCAGAGTATGTACTATGTCAACTATTTCCTCCTCAATAACAGGACTTAAGAATATAGAATTAGGTTGAGGGTCAAGTAAAGTGAAGAGTGAGAAAAAGACCGTATCAGAACAATATTCCGAATATCAGTCCTTTACAATATAGTTAATCAAGTGACATGGCGTAAAGTTCATAAGAAACAAGTTAAATGATTGGTGGGAAATATTGAGAAAAAATTGATGATAGGCCTAGCACGTGCATATTTTTGACCTGAGGCCATTTGGGAAAAAGTCCCCTTTTAAGAGGACGTTCCCTCTTTCAGGGTACTTGTTTTGTCCCCAAATACTGGTTCCTCTCCAAATATAGCGACAGTCTCTGAGTTGTGATGTGCGCGCCTCTACTGATTAACCAGTTCAAGGGATGCCTTTCATTTGGCATTGGGGGCAGGTACTGTAGTAAGGAAAGGGATATCAGTACATACCGGTAAGGGATGTGACAAGAAAGCCTTCTCAGATCCTTTCCCAAATGTGGTGCTGTCTATGAAACTCGTAAATCATGGAGGCCAGAGGCAATTTTTTTTTGTCCAGAATATGCTCTTATCTGTGCTCATATCCTGATATCAGTAAAAGCAAAAGGTGTAGGAGTTCGGCAATCAAGTTCATTTTAAACATGATGTGAGACTGAGATATTTTCCTGCAACTTTTCAGACAACAAACGTAAAGGAGAGGACAACCAAGAGAAGGCCAACTCAGCCAAGACGCGCCGCGTAGACCAGCTCCAGGGCATCACGCACAACAAGACGGTTGACTTGATCGTCCTGGGCCTGGCATGGAAGACTACGCAGGCAGGAATGCGGGAGTACTTTGAAAAGTTTGGTGAACTGCTGATATGTGAGGTGAGATGCATGGATGTTTACCTGGACAATCTGGAGGACTCAGTGCAGATGCAGCTGATGTCGAATAGGGGATAAAAAAATTTGGTTTTTGCTACTGACCCTGTCTGGAATTTCCTACTAAGAAAAAATGGAGAAACCTTTCTTAAAAGTTTTCAGGGACAAAATTAGTACAGTTTTCTTTACCCCCGTTTTCCCCCCTGACCAACCCTTCCTTGTGGTGAAAAAAAGGGAGAATAATAGAATTCAAAGGATACGCCCTATACAAACTTGTCTAGTCTGACAGAAAGTACTCCTCGGTAGTTGTAGCCTTCCCAGATCCTTCAACAATTCACAAAACTTGGGAGATTTTGCAGGAATTACGAAGTTCAAATACAGCCCTAATCATGTATACTTTCCTCTGCTCTCGATCATCCCGGGAAATTTAGAGGACGCAGAATGTGCAGTTGAGTTCCTACACACTTTTGAAGGCTTTGGACAGGTCCTTGGCAAAACCCCCAAAAAGTTAGGGCCAACCTGAATGTATATGATATTACTTCAAATGCATGGCTGCAATCAGACCATTGGATGAAGAAAGGACTAGGTTGGATTTATAATGTCTTTGTGCAAAAAATGTTTCATCGTGATGTATTTTAAAAATTACAAAAAAGGGTTTGAAAAATGAGTTAGAATGTAATACTTAATTTAAAAGGCAAATAACCTACAACCATTGTTGGACTTACTGAGCAAAGGCATGTAGCATAATTACTTGCATGTATCTTTTATTTAATCCATTCACAGCTGAAGGTAGATCGTGATGGTAACTCAAAAGGCTTTGGGTTTGTGCGCTACAAGGACGTGGAAGCCCAAAACAAAGTGGTATCAATGAGACACACAATAGACGGCAGACACTGTGATGTGAAGTTCCCTGATTCCAAGGTACAGGTTTGCGCAGTCATTTGGGACATCCCATTTTGTGATGAAGATGTTTGTAAAAGTTACAACTTGAATGCCATTTTCATGCCCAATTTTCAAATGCAAGCTAAAGCCCAAATCGTATAGAGTACCGAAGTGTTACTGACGTCATTTTTGGAACAAGAAGTAAAGTACAAATGAATTGAGTGGGGGGGCGTGTTGGTTTATTCGTAGGTTGTCACTCTAATGCCTTTTACACACATACATGTAAGTGTGCATGTGACGTTTTAAGGTCAGTATTTTATTGAGTTATGGTCTTCACGTAATTATTTTAAAAAGCACATACAGCCTATGAGCCAGAGTACATGAATGGCATCTAACATGTCTAAATACACAGTTGAATTACTCAGATAAGGCTGGATTAAACAAATCAGCTTTATGCTTGCAATGCAGTTGCAGCTTAGTTTCTTGTGGCGCCCCCTTGAAAAAAAATGTGTGCACCTCTGTGTGCCCTCTCCCCCCCCCAGACATTTAGCCCTAGTTACACCAACCACTGGTTGTGAATTTCAGGTGCAAAACCTACAGGGCTTGTTCACTGCAAAACACAGAAGTATTTGATCAACCCTAACCAGGCTAAACCTAGACTTGACTCAAGTCGGGATCATCCGTGACGTTATGCCTTTGGATGAGTAGGCTGAGTACGCGGTGTTACTGGCTTCATGCCATCTTGTGTCCACTTATTGCTGTAACTTGAGCAATCCTGACTTTCAAATCTGCCAACCGTTTATTCACAGCGAATGAGCTCATCTACCAAAAAACAGTAGCAGCCAGTCAAATTACCAGACTTTTTTTACATCGTTCAAACTTCCATTATAATGAACGAGTATGTGAGTCTGACCACTTTGATTGGTGGAAATACATTATGCAAGATCATGTCATTCATATGTAATTATGAATAACTACGTATCACCGGTTGGGAGTCTGATTGGCTTATCAATCAAGTCAGACTTACTGACTGGTGACGCAGGACACTTGTAAATTCCGGATATCGCGGAAAGGCTATCAACTTAGGGCACCTTAAAAGAAGTTATATGAGCGGCCCAGCGCGACAGCTGTGTACTGTGTACTGTACTGTGTACTGTACAGTGAAGGAATGGCTGACTGGGGAAGAGCAATGTAAGTCTGACTTGATTCAAGTCTAGGCTAAACCCCATGTGACGAAAAGGCCTCTTGTCCTAGCTGTTGGATTCTATTGGGTTCAGCAGGGTGCCTGCAGAAAGCCTGAAGTCGGTTAGAGTTTAGCATTAACAAATTACTTCAAAAATGGTGGCACAATTCACAGTAAATGTTTGGTTTATATCTGCAAGCCATGGCATAGTTCACGTACATGTAAGTATGAGAACCTTACACAGTCATCATAATATGAAAGCCAAGACAAGTGTAAAAATGTGTCTGTGTAAAGATACCTGCAAATGCTTTTCTTATTTGGAAGAGACTCTCATTTTGTTCATGTTCATAATTTTGTGAAGGCTTTAAAAACTGAAATATTTGCACAGTATTTGAAGCAAGTCATTGTATTTGAACATTAAATGGTTTTTGTCTATTGACAGAACTATAACAATAAAATGTTCATCGGTCGTTTGACCGCCGACATGACGAAAGAGGACATCTATGAATATTTCTCCCAGTTTGGTGAAGTTACTGATATCTACATTCCCAAGAATTTCCGAGGGTTTGGGTTCATCACATTTCTCAGGCCAGAGGTGGCGTCCCGTGTTGCCTGTGAAGACCACATCCTAAAGGTACCGGTGCTGTGCTGGGGTTGTCTTGTCTTATTTCAGTGAGTGCACTTCACACATTATCTGCACGGAGCAGAAGCACCCCCTCCCCATCAGTTGAAAAAAGCCATGTTGGTGGGGAGTTGTTCATTTTGTTGGTATTAATATGATTTTAACATGCATTTCATAGTTGTTTGTGCAGTTCCCACAAAAAGAGCCTCCATTGCTAGGAAAATTGCACCCTCTTGTGGTCCATTGTGGGGCTCATAATGTATCCCAGGAAGGCATGGTGCTGTACTCATAGTGTCGAAAAAGTCCCAAGTTTCTTGTTATAAAGTATGTTTACTTATTCGGTCTTCTCTCTTTATTCTCTTGGACAAAGAAACATTTCCCGTTGGAATCTTCCCATTTGAAACTTTCCTCTTTTCTATGGCCCCCATCAAGCCCTTCCCCTCCCCTCCCAAGCAAACGTTTAGTTCATTAGTAACAAGGAAAATGGCGGGTAATAGAAGTTATTACTTTTGCTAGGGTTCAAGTCTGTTTATCAGTGATGCTGAACCAAAGAATTCCAGGAAGACAGCAATGAATAGTCCAGAAAACAACCAGATGGGAATGTTCGGAGGCCAGAACTTTGGAGGCGGTAAATATTTTTCACTCATTCAAGAATGTTAAATCTTCATTATTCTGGAAGGACTGTCTGCATAACAACCCTCAAAATCTGATGAGAAAATGTTAAAGAACTGCCATGACAAAACTGAATTTCAGGAAAAAAACATGATTTACATGTACATGTATATACACACTGAAATAGTTTCAGTTGATTGATGCTAGAACATTTATAACTATCTTTACACCACCTAGAAATTATCAGCCACATAGTGTCGCCTAAGATTTTAGTTTGCAAGGGTAACTCTGTGATATGTGCTGGGGCCAAGTGACAACCTGTCAGATGGAATAATATCACTAGGCGGCTTGTGATAGCCCTCTTTGTACAAAATCTTAAGTTTGTGCATACAACACGGATGAATCTTACTCTTATGTACACATGTAGAAAATAATCATTCTCTCTGTTATTGCTATAAAGGGAAGAATTTTTACCTTAAAAATTTTAATAAAAATAGACATGCAGATACCTGTACATTAGCTTTAGTGACTTGAATTGCCAGAAATCTTTGTTCAATATTTTGTGCATTTGGATCATTTTGAACGCTTGCCAACTTACCGTTGCCAACTTTGGCCATGTACCATTACAGCTCTAGTTCTATAGAAGCAGTGGGAACCAGTGTAACCACACTGAACATTGTAAACAAGTTTTAAGTGACTGCTCAAGGAAAACTCATTGGAAACTTGATTTCATTTCATGATTGAACTTCTACAGAGAACTACCCGAAGGGTGAAAAAGAATGGAACTGAACATGCAGTGAAAAAAGTGTGCGAGTTTTGGTGTTATTTGTTTCTAACTTGATTTTATTACATTTTATGTGTTGACCCAAAATCCTCATATATGTGGAAACATTCTGAGGCAGGCCACCACACATTTGAATAGGCTGGAGCCAGGAATGGGTGCATTCAATATTAAAGGACTAAACATAGCTAGACCAAACAATCGGCTTGCCAAACATTTTACATGTACATGTACATTGTACATGTATATGGACCTGTGGTGTTTGTTATAGTAGCATTGCACTGTACATTGTCATAGGATTGTTTTAGTTGAGTCCATCCCATTAGAAACGCCTTTAGCCAGACCAAAGGTTTAAGGGTCAGGGTAAACAGTTACAAAGAAATGCTTTTGTAACAGCTCGTTAGAGTAGCCCCTTAACTTGGGTAGAGACTAAGTGACTTGTGACGGAGAGTGATGGAATCGATTGTAGCAATAATAGAATCACAACCCGGAAATATTGCATAGATGGTATTAGATGTATTGTTCCAGTTTACTCTTGAGCACAATCTGTAGGACTTCTTGATGTAATTTTTTGACAGGTTTTGGAAATCAAGGACAGTATCATTCCCGTGGTGATTACAACCAGGTGTCAAGGAGAGGGGCTCGTGGGGGGAGCAGCATGGGAGGTGGTGGGGGGAATTACAGGGACTACAGAGACAGAGATCAGGGTGGTATGGGTGGCCAGGTTCCAAACAGTCCTGGTATGGCTGGTGGAGGGATGGGTGGGGGTATGGGTGGAGGAATGGGTGGCGGCATTGGGGGTGGTATGGGCGGTGGCATTGGGGGTGGTATGGGTGGCAATCCAGGAGGGCAGGGCCCTGGACAGATGAACAATTTCCCCTGGAACCAGGCCATGTTGGCTGCCTTGAGCCAGGCGGGCTGGGGCATGATGAGCAACATGCTGGCCCAGGGCATGCAGCAGGGCCTGCAACAGCAAGGGAACCAGCTGCAGCAACAGCAGCAGCAACAACAGCAGCAGCAACAGCAGCAGCAGCCAAACCAGCAGCCCCAGGTGGGGATGTCACAAGGGGGTGGGGGATCAGGAGTGCCTAACCAGCAGCCCATGCAGCAGAATCAAGGCGGTGGTGGTGGAGGAAGCTATGGCTCCAACCAGCAGTCTCTTGGCTGGGGAGGCGTCCAGAATAGTACAAATGAATCCCCCAGCACTGCTTATCTAATGGGAGACTCCAAGTCAGGAACGTGGTAGCAATGTAAGTACAGATCTTCTTCAGCAAACCTTCATTTTTATTAACATGACATGTAAACAGAGTTTACATTTTGTCACAGTTTATATTTAGTCACATTCCTTCAGTGTATTTTTGTGTGAAGACTTGCCAGTGTACAATGTACATGTACTTCATTGATTTCCACCATTTCAAGACAATCATGCAGTATATAATGTTCACCCATTGCTTCACATCTTGGCAAGCTGAATTAACACTTTAAATGAGCTTTGTTACATTCTAATGCTGAACTGTCAGAAATATGTGCACTACAAGAATGTACATGCACATATCGGACAGAGTTCTTCCACTGATGCAGAAATTAGGTCACATTCTGTGTCTCTTTTTGTGTTGCAGTTGGTAAGTACTCTACTTGAACCATCACCAATACGTTTCTTAAGGATGTTATTCCTTGGAACCTGTGTTAAGTGTTTGCGTGCTTGATGACTGAAATTTCCCGTTAGTGTGCTGAAGTACTGTGGGAGGCCAAGCTACTTCTCTTGGCTTGTTTAAGATTGGTTCCTGAGAAAAGGTGAAAGCAGTGTCAGGTGTAGCATTTGGAACATCATCTTTTGTAACAAAAATTGTAAGCTCTATTGGTGTGGAAAATGTATTATGTCAGGTAGTATTGTATGTGTGTGGATTTACTATTGTAACAACGTATATATTTTGGTGATGGCAGGAGAGGGTGGGTTGTATGAATATCCCCCATTAATTTGCATTAAATGTATGTAACAAGCCTCTGATGATGTGCCATGATCAGTGGAGTGGAGTACAGTAGTCTGGTAGTAAGCAATGATGTACTGTGTTCTGTGCTAGACCGCAGTTACCTGTATAGTGATATGAATGTGACGTCGAAACTTGGGCTCTTGAGCAGAGAATAGAGGATCAGCATTGTCTGTGCTGGCTTCCCATGAGGTAGATCTGCTAAAATTGTATTTTTCAAAATGTCAAAGACTTGGGTTTTATATCTTCGTGTATGAAAGAAAGGTGTAAACTATCAGTACCAGTAAAAATTTTCATTGAAAAAAAGTTCCGTGCTACCGGTACCTTTGAAGTTTGTGTTAAAAGAAGAACCCTGAAAAGTTTTTTTTCTGAGCTAAATTGTCTTTCAGAAAGGCATGACTGTCTCAAAATGCATTTAATGTGTCAAATTGTGACAACAAATGAATGTTACTTGTTAGTGCATCCTTGCAAAATATATTTTGTGTGAAAAGGTAATGGAAATGTGGTGTAAAAAAAGAATGGAAACTTTAAATAAGATGACGGCTTTCTGGTATCCATTCCATCGCAACTGTTGCTTGGGGTTTGACTTAGGGTTTGGACCTTTTGGAGGCTTTCTTCCCTTTAACCTCAAAAAGATAAAAGGATAAAACATTTCACCATTTAAAACAACATGCAATGAATCTGTAGAAACATCGAGCGATTCATAATTATTTGTGTTTCATTGAAGTATGAGTCCATGTACGATTAGACAAAAACATGTACCTGTCTGGCGTGCTCTTCAGTGCATGCGTGTTATCCGCTCCGAGCGGAACAAAAGAGGGCGCAATTTTTTTGGTACTCACTGCATAAGTGCGCCATGAGGTGCGTTTGATGAGGAGCTTGCTGAGTATACGTGACTAATTTATTCCGGCTTGTGTGGTCTTTGCGTAAGCACAGAATGCGTACAAGAACCCGCTTGTAACCACCTGTCTTTCTTTCGCCAATTTGGGGGGGTGCACTTCAGCTCGGGGCGGATTGCAAAAATGCCTGATTATGTCACTTTAAAAAGTATCCGTACAGTTACAGAACTTTCAGTGAATTGATGTGGATGTAGGGGAAGTAAACATATAAGTGCCTGTTAAAAAATTGTAATTGAGAAGTCAATGCACAAAGGGAATTTGATAGCTTGGAAGCAATCTGTTATGCATGTTGTGTTGAAACTGATGATTGAGTACCTTCGGAAAGTCCCAAGTAGTTGAAAGCTGCTGCAGGTGTAGTGAAGATATTTTTCTTTGCCAAGAAGAGGACATGCATGTACAACAGTCGAACGTAGCCCACCAGACTTTTTTATTTTATCTTGCTCCTAATCTCTTAGAATTTTGGGTGATTATTCACTTGCACAACAAGTGCACTGATGGACATTTTTGGAGGCTTTCTGTAACTTACATAGGTACTATAAGTGAAATGGCAGTTCTAGGCGTTAACACCGGGGGGGGGGACTTCTACCAGTTTATGGCGATGGTTGAACAACCTGAGAAATCAACCTGAAAAATTACTTTGAAAATTTTGATTATTTTGTAACTGTACGTACATGTACTTTAAAGAGCCTCAATATAAATAAGATATCATTTTAGCGGTGTTTCTGCTCATTCCTTTCACATACGTACATGTATAGGGGAAGTTTTAGTGAAATTTTGCTTGAGAAAAATTATCAGCACTTATCAGAAAATGCATGCACATGTAGTATGCATACATCACGTATCTTTTAGATAAAGAGCATAACTCTGAATAGGGAGTAACATGTAAACATTGTGAAGGTGCTTGTGCTGTTTGAGTGTATGGAACAAAACAGTGGCTGTAATGGGCGAGTGAATTGTACATCCAGGTGTAAGATTTCATAATACAAGTATTTTCTTGTGTTTAGATTCATGTACATTGATTGTGGTACCCGCATGTATGAGTGTTAGAACTAAGACTGATTTCTAGCCACAAGTTATCTGAGTTTAAAGTTCTTGCGAGATTACTAGAATTTATAAATGCACGGTATTAGATTGTGGTGTTTGGGAAGGATACACATTTGGTGCAAGTTATTAAGGGCATAAAATTGAGTGTTTGTGACTCACAGTACGAAAGGTGTGGGCAGAGCTGTTTATACAGAGAGTTGCGACATCAGTGTCTTCAATTGTTGGAACCAAAATGATTGATTATGGACATGGACAATTAGCACACGGTAGCTGCATGCTGTACGGCATACATAATGAATTAGCCATTTTGGTTCCAGAGTTTGAAGTTGGTGCTACTCTCTCTATAAATAGCTCTGGCTGTGGACATACATGTAGGATCTCTGTAATGTGTTTGAGGACCAGAGGATGTACATATGCTCATGTAAACCATTTGAAGGTGAATGATGTTTGAGTTGTCTACTAACAGTGTGGAAGAAATTACTGTGACTTTTGTGCATGGAGTGTTAATTTAAAAAAAGGAAGATGTTTTGTACATGTATAGAAAAATTGAGGGTTGTCCCTGTTATGAATAAAGAGAGATTCAGAATTGTCACTATGCACTGTTATGCTTGATTTGTGAGTTAATGTATTGCTGAAGTGAGCGTGGAAACTTGAAGCGGTTGACACTTGCATATTAATTTTCCTTTGTTTCTTGATGTATGAGGATGTTTGATCTACATGTAGGCTTCACACAGTGTGGTTGATGCACACTGGCAACAATTCTACGGTTCTACTAGGGGCCTGGGGTCTAGACCTGTTCTGACCAGGAGTGCCGTGTCCACCATAGGCCATTTTTTAATGTGGCCACTCTATAAGTGTGGTGATTATGGAGTGAAGCATTCTATTTTGACTTTGGAACATTTGACAGTTGCTTGACGAGGGACGTTTTGTTGATAAGACATGTAAGATGCTAGTGACTGGCATGATTGAACAATTTGGAACAGGTTGTATCGAGCTTTATTTTGTTCCAAGAGTTGAGGATCATCTGTGAAGACACATGGTGTTGCATCTTGAATCTTGTTTGTTTATCTGGAGTGATGAAATTGGTGCAAGGCATGCATGCGTGGAGGGCAGGCTGTTGTGTATGTTTGAAGCGATGCTTGCTTGGTGGTTGTGAAGAAACAGGTATGTATGGCTGGAGGTAAGTCCAGAATTTCAAGGTCTGTATAGAGATTGCATATCCCTTTTAAGGAGATTTTTTGAGTTTGTGATATAGAGGATATTCATTTGTGATTTTTGACGGCCTGTGTTCAATTTACTCAGATACGTGCAGAAACGTGCATGCGTTTGAAGTCTCACTTGCACACACGAAACTGGCAATGGAAATAAACACATTCGAAATGCACGCACATCCACACATATGGTATGCTAGTCTCCTGAAATGCCTTTGTCCGTCATTTTATGTCACATGAAAAACCTTTATAGTCTTACATGTACATGTATTCTGATCTTAAAAAAGAAAGTGAAAAGTGAAGAATTCTTCTAGCTTCTAGACACCCAGTGAATGAAACGAACATTCAAATTGTTCTGAAGTTTTTCCAGATCAAATTCAATACTGTGGCACCTGTAGTCCAAATTTGTTAAAGGTAGCAGGAATGCCATAAGTTTTTACATTATTTTGGAAAGTGGCATGAGTCACAATGTTGATTATTAGCTCTAGGAATTACCTGGTGACCACATATACAGTGCATGTTGCTGATAACCAGTGTATATTGGAGGTATGGGAAGAAAGTACTCATGTGATTGAACATGGTGTAATTCGTAAAGTTTTGCAAAGAATGTTGCACTTTTCAACCCACCGCAGGGCCAGCTCAGAGTCAAAACTGCCGTGTCTGTCAAGGTGCCTTCTTCCATGACCAGGGAGTGCTTCATTCAGTAGCAAGTCATTTATAATAGACAGGTAATTGCAGTTTCTCCATGGAGTGTTTAATTACAAACTACACACTACGCCTTCCTCTGAAAGGTGCGCAAAAGGAATTTGGCAAATGGGGAAATTTGTTATAAACAGAAAAAGAAATTTCTCCCTTTTCTGTAGGATGACAGGTGATGTATGACTGCGGGTCTGTGACCATGAGAGACTTCCTGCCAGTGCGGTCAGTCGAAAGCCATTTGGCAGGATAAATCCAGCCACAAGCTGGGCTAAGAACTTAACAAACTATAAGTTAGCCAGCAGCCGACTGCCCAAAGCCTAAATGTACTGCCTGTAACTTGAGTCCTCCAAATTTCGGCTAGTAGCCAGTCAGGTGTTGGCCAGATCAAAACCTGCTGGGATCACCAGAAATCAGCAACTCAGTAAATTTTTCGCTGACAGTGAGTATACTGTCATCCAGAAACCATACAGGAGGTTACCAGTCACATTAGGGCCAGCGACTGTGGTCATCAGCTGCTAAGTTATCAGACTCAAGTTGGTGGTCGGCTTTAAACCAACATGCTGTCAATTGGCAACTCATATTTCCCAACTTAATCCCAGCAACATGCTGACTTACCTTCCAGGTTTAGGCTAGATGTACAGCTGACTGAGCTGAGTCAACGGCCAACCAACTGCCGAGTACCTGTTAGCCAGAAACTAAGCAGTTACAAGATTGCCCATTGACAACGCATGTAAGTAACGCCAGCCATAATACTGCTGTTTCATCTATTTAGGCCAAAGTGTTGCATTTCTAAAACAAATCTTTGGGTACATTTGCTTTAACACTCCTTGATAATGATTTCCTTTGGGCTTTTTGTATATTAAAATATTTATAACATTTAAGTACTTATAATCTCATGAGCATTGTTTTAGTGTGGTCAATCACATTTCCACATTAACTTAATACCTGTCACTTAGTTTCACCTTCTATTTGAAGGAGACGGGGACTCCTGGTTACTTAGTGTTGAAATACTTAAATACATTTCTGCCGGAAAAGAACAGTCCACAACAAATTTAGTCAAACTATTCTCTGAAAATGAATCAATTTTTGGTTGCACCGTACCATGGCCCTCTCCCATGTTGTCATTACGTATAGCTCAAGCAAGTGTGGACTTAAAAAGTACATGTACCAATATATAAGTACTGCCGTCTCTGAAGGGTAATCCTGACAAATGACAGATAATTTTTAAAGTAATTTTAAGGTTTTTATTTACTTGCAGGAAGCCCGACATGAACAGAGACCAGACCAAGGAATGTTTAAGTCATAATGACGGTCACACAGACATTGGCACTATATTATCAGCAGGATGTTTGCCAGGATCTTTCATCATTACCTCTCAAGTTTAGGCTGCCAGTGTCCCTGCAGATGTCCAAGCTTACCTCTTGTACCATGTCAACTCCACGGATTGTGTGACCGTTGGACAAATACCATTTAAATCTAAGTGACCCAAATTCTTGAAATCCTGTTACACACCTGCAAAACAGCAGCAGTGCTCTTTTCTTAAAAACGAATTCTTCTACTAAATTGAAAAGCAGCCAGTTTTTATGCATTCCTTCATATCCATATTTCAAGATCTGTGAATGAATGATATGCTAATAGGTTTCAATAAAATGGCATCTTTCCTTAAAAAGATTCATGTTTGCTTCTGTTGTTTCAGTATCTAAACTTGGTGAGTAATGTATTGCATGTATACATTTCAGTGCTGCTTGCAAAAAAACTTTAAAAAATACTCAGCACTCATTTCACACCACAGTGTGTCTTTTGCATGAACAGTATATACTTGAGCAGAGCCCAGACTTCCAAAAGTAATTTGTCATTTGAATTTTTGAGACAATTATAAAGCCCCATCTTTGAGACTGAGGCCGTGTCCGAAACGGGCTTCCAGAGCTACGGCTAGGTCTATTGTCTACGCGTCTCCATGCATTTCCAATGGAGTGAAGACCTAGACCTAGCTCTAGACAACAGGTTCGGGTGCAGCCATAGTCAAGGCATTTCAGTGCAGAGAGGCTGAGTGGTTAGGCTGGTACTCAACTTATGGTACATTGGGATACTGCTAACTGTACGGGTACATTGGGATTCTGCCAACTGTAAAGGAATGGGGTAGACATTATTTGAAACTTAGTAAAAACTAGACACCTGATAACACTCTTGGGCGATATGACTCTGGTACCCGTATTCAGAATATTAAAGCTTGTTAGCAGAAGTGAATTCTAACGATATAATCAGGCATTCAAGCCTGCCCAATCCCTTCTATAGTCTCACTCTCAGACTCGGTAAAAACAACCGTAATCACTATTTGTTGCTGCGCCTGTGACATGATTATGAGTTTATCCGAGGTGTGAACTAAAAATGGCTTGAGCAAACCCTCTTGGTTCTACATGCACAATCCAGTCTTGCCTGTTCCTACAAGGGTCATTCTACAAATTCAGGGTCCAAAAGTGTGACATTTTTGTCCCTGTTACAGCTAACCTGTGTAATTTGACATGGAAATATCACTGAAATTGACATCAAACTGTTTCTATTTGTTTGGCAGGTAATTTGCATTAAGTGATCATTCTTGGAAATTAGAAAATGTATTCTGAAATTAAAAAGTCGTGCCAAGATGACTTCCATAGGGTCATGCTTTGTTTGTTTGTCATGCATGCCCACAATGCATTGCAAACGTAGGAAAGGGTTTATATTGGCACACTAAACTTATCATGTAATTTGTACGTCTGACCTAATTCTCTGAGAGCAATATTAATTTTACGCTGATGTACTGTTGAGTTACCTTCTGACTGTATCTATATTAATTGATTGATTACATGGTGTTGGTAAGATTTTTTTAGTTTCGCACAAAAAACTGCTGTGCATGATCCATCCCCTTTCAATTATGTCCGCCGGATTTACGCTCATTTGTCCATCTATTCTTGCGATGGTGGTTTAGTATTGCTTGCTCTTTGGCGTTCCTGGATGACGTCAGCCAGCAATCCCTCTGAAATGCCAACGCAAGTGGAAGGAGCGTTGACAAGAATGATGCGAATGCTATACAGCCATCAGAATTCAAGAAAGAAAACCAGTAAACGATTATTGCTACTTGTAATGAGGCACCCAATATTGATTGGAGTGGGGGTATAAAGTTGGAGCAGTGGCAATATCAAAAGTCGAGCCGAAAGGTAGGCCTGTAGGTCTATACATGTTTACTGTTATAGACAAAGAAAACTGTCTCTCCTCGGACGGTGCTGTAAAATTGATATTAGCTGACCCGGTACTCCAAACATTGTAGAAAAACTTATATGCACGGTTAGTGTAAATAATGGGACAATCCAGCTCCGTTGCGTTGTACTAGCTACGTCTATAGTGGCTCAATTTATAGAGCTGTTTCTCGTAAACTGTTTTTTGTAGAGGGCACAACCTGCTTTTTGTAATCTGGTTTAAGGGCGTACACATAGGCTTCAAAATAAGGGGTGACCTAAGTGGGGTTCCGCCACGTGTCCCTTGTAATGTACGCAATGGTTCACCACGAACCTTTTTTCAGGAACACCAATCTCTCCACTAAGGAAGTCCGACAGCGCCTTGATGGTTTGTCGGTTTTCGTCAGCATCTTCGAATGCGTCGGCGTTGATGACTCGCATCAGGAACACAGGGTCAGTGCCGTCCACCCCCGCATACAGCCTTTCGTCAGTTGACAGCGCCACCAGCATGGCCTTGCATCAAATTCCAGAAAAATTTTTTTTTCTTTTGTTTTGTTACGATTGTTGTTGTTTGTTTAATTGTTGTTCTTGTTTGATGCTGTTGTAACAGGGTTGATGCTGATGCTGTTGTTGGTGGTGATGGCGGTTCTCAGGGTTTTGCTTTTTTGCCTTTTTGAAATCTCTTTCTGTGGAATACGGGCGATTCACTACAGTGCGTCGACAAGAGTTTGCAACGCGTTGACCAATCAAAGTGCGTGAAATCTGTCGACCCAAATGCGCGTTTGGAAAGGGTCGACAGATTGGATGGTATTGATTGTATGGCGTAACATTAAAAAAAGGTCAAGCGAATACTGAGCAAAACAGCAAAAACTCCATTTTCCATTAAGCAGTGTTGTAACTACTAGGGTATACGACGGCCCCTAGCATGATGTGTTCAAGCGAACGTTTACAAGCGCCCGTATTTAAAGAGAACACCCATAGGCCTACACACTTATAAATCATGGATACGCTACTGATTCCATTTTCGGGGCCACCACCCACTTCCAACTTCTCACCAGTTTTGAATTTACCAATTAAAATTATGCGAAATGTATCACATTGCTTTTGCTAAATATTATATCATAAGATGACCCATCTGCCAACTGATTGCCAGCGTTTGCATTATGTTAACGTTACCTGAATACATGATTTGGCCCTTTAGAAAATTCCGGATTCAGCACTGAATCACAGGATTGAGGCCAGGTAGTCATACTAGACGTAGATTGTCAAAAAAGTTCGGCAATGGACGACGCGATCTTCTCCTTTCCCATTACAAGCATACTCGAAAGGCTACATGCATGCATATAGTGATACCTACATGTTTAGGACGCTTGAAAATGGAGGCGGACATCTCCACTAATTTGACACAAAAATCAGACGGCAGGGCATCAGCATTTAAGTTGGTCTGTATCTCTAGTATGGGCATGCTTAGGTAGCCTATAAAGTACTGATCCTGTCAAAGGTGGGAAAAAGACATTCTTTTAAAATCCGATTGAGATTTAGCATGGTTCTCTATTCAGGCCACGTGACACTGAGTGGTGAGAGTTGATTCACTGTGCGATGAGAGTTGTTTGGCGATTTTGGTGTTTTGGTCAGCGGTACAGTAAGTGTTGTTGAGGTTTCATTACACTAATACGCGCCCGAAGATAGCGCAAAATCCGAGACAAACTGCGCAGCCTGGTAATGCCCAGGAAGAATATTGCCTCTTTGTTTTACTTGAAATTAAAAATTATGACCCCTGGGACAATTTCTTTTCAATTTCACAAGGTTTTTGTCTGGAATTTTCTTTCGTAGAGAGAGGAATACAAATATAAAGACTCGAGGAAAATGATAAACCTAAAAATCAACTTCAATTTATAGTCTCGTTACATTTAATGTGTGTGGCGATGTCACCGAGTCATCTGATTGTGATCTAGTAGCGATTTACGGAAATGAGAGGTCAATTTCTGACAAGATATTTCTCTTTATTCAGATAAGGCAATTTTTCAATTTCTTTAAATTGATCTGCTCGTAAAATCGTAAAATAATTTGCAAAGGCATTTTTCTATAACGGTGATTTTTACCGAAGTAAACTAAAGAAAAATCATTACAAGTTCTACAATTCTAATGAAAATGAAATTTTAATAAACTTTTGGACATTATTTTCCCTACCCGTGGATTCCAGAATCGATCAATGTCAGAGGTCAACTTTCAAGCTGCATTAAAAAGGACTTGGCGGCCTCTTGTGATCGTGCCCCAAAATCACGAAAACTGGAGCGTACCGTTAGATCGACCAAACAACTCTCACCGCGCAGTGCAACAACCCTCGCCGCGCAGTGCAACAATTCTCGTTGTGCAGCGTAATGCGGCCTGAATATAACACCGTATCAGTGAGCACAAGCAAATGATTCCCATCACCCGTCTAGATAAGTCTTGATAAAGTACAATTTCAAAAAACGGAAACGTTATGTTCAAATATTACATGTTCTCCTCCCTGTCTCACTTTAATATCGTGTTGAGAACTTATAGGTTGGAGCTACAGTTTCATTACTTACGTTTTGATTCAATTCGCCACAAGATTAATAGTTAAAACTTGGCAAATGGTGTTGCAAATGGAGTAAAAAGGACAGTGTAGCCAACTGGAGAGCTGCAACTTCCAAACACTTCAGAAACTGACACACACACTGACCGTCGGGCAGACCTGGGTGGAGTAGGTAGACCATGCGCCAAGTCGGGATAACCTTTATTCTGGCTGTTTACTGTGCTATCGATGGACTGATAGCAAGAATGCGGGTATATCCGTTCCTTTCATCACTAACATGTGAATGTAAGGTTGTGAGATCTCGCTTGTTTTGTTGAAACCGGTACGCTGCCGTTGGTGTCATTTTATCATTTGCGTTGCAGGACCGCCCGTTATGTTGCACTTCACAGGACCACACTTGCACACCGGGTAAAATTCACTGATGTTGATATGAACAAATAGTGACGAGTTAGGAGCAGTATATAGGGCAGTATCCCTGTTGCATCTAATTCAGTATATACTGCCTTTAATTTAGTTCATTTCAGAGCTCTCTGACGTTGGGTGAGTCTTTTTACGAAATCGTAGTTATCCCTAACAGTCATAAATCCTCCGATTTCTAAACTAACCTCTAACAACACACAGTAGGCCTACGAGCAAAGTTAAGAGGGGTTTGCGTCTGGTAGGTAACTCGAAAACTGTATGACAGAAAAGCTGAGTATTGAGGGGGACCAGGCTTAGAGTGCCCTTAAACGGGGGTAAAAAAGGATGTAATGAAATCCCATTTCACCCGTGTCTTTCGGTCTGATTCTCTTTTCTTTTCTTTTTTTTTTGTTTTGTTGAAAAATCAAGTAACATTTGGGGCAAGGGAGCCCCAAGCCACTTTTAGAATCTGTAGCTGAGACAAATGTCGCAAGGTGGTTCCGTACTCTCAATGCAGGGCTGTCAGAATCACTCTCGTGAAGCCTGAAGTTGAAACACTCCGGCGAGAAGCTACGTTGAATTGAGCTGGTTTAATTTGAATTACCTGGCGAAGATACAACCAAAACGATGGAATAAGGACTAAGGAAGGAAGAAAGGATGGTAGCTAGGTCTCTGTCAAAACATCAAGCCAAGTAGGTTTTATCTACTCGTTAAGTACTATAAACAGTAGGCCGATTGTGTTGTAATTATACACTATTAATACATGAGTTTTTCTGTCTAATTCACCAGGAGGCAATTAAAGAATGTCTTTGTCTCGGCTTAATATAAAGTAAAGAGTGCCCGTCTGTGTGTTATTCCATAGCGGCAGGTACCACCTATGTACACTTGACTCGGGATCTCTATGATGTCTTCGTAGGCTTTGGATACATATATCAAGACTGTACCCAATAACGCCCTACTATTAGGGCGTTATATTTTTATATCCATGTTATTACTGAGCATCAGGACTACCTGCAGACAAAGGGGCTTTTATCTCATACCTTGCAAGATTCAAACCGTCCAAGGATGGCCACAGTAAGTGCAAATACTATACGCATAAGCGGAGCCACGTGTGTTTTTGCGTGGATGCCGTAAGCGTTATTACGTCGGAAAAGGGCGTTACACGCCGTAAAAGGGCGTTAATTACGCCTGAAATTTGGGCGTTGTAATGCCGTAAAATAAAACAGTGTATTCCCGGAGATCAGCCACCGTAAAACTCGCATGCATTTTCAGGACACGACCGTATATCAGTTTGGCCATGATTATGACGGACCGACAACGGACACACACACACTACAAACAACAGGTGGGTACGGTACCGGGTGCGGTGGCGCACGTGCACCTGTGTAGTACATGTATGCTGAGCGCATTTTCACAACTTGGTGTATCATCAAGAAATTAGTCTTTGAGGAATCGGTGGCACACCTACGTGATGACATTGATGGAGTAAGTACAATGGATTTTGCTTGTATTAGGCCTATACCACACTTTTACAGGAATAAAATTTATAGGCCTAGTTCTTCATTTGGGAGTGATGAGCCATGGAGTAATGCAGAAAGGAAAAGACCATACAACTAGTACGGATCAACACTAGCATACCCCCCCCCAGAACTGTGGGTCCGACTGGCCGTCGGACCCCACAGTTTTGGGGGTACATACGCTAGGCATGCCTACATGTACGCTCACTGGCCTCAGTACATGTGCATGGCCCATTTCTGTGAAAATGGCATGAGGAACTTTAGTAGGCCTGTACAAGTATGCCCCGCAAGATTTTGCACACACCTTGCAAATTGTTTATCAACCCTCCCAAGCAAGTGGTTGGGTGTGGTGATGTGCTCACGTGCAGCTGTAATGCTAGGCCATCCCAAATGATATAAGCCCATCAAGGTCCAATGTTTTTCTGAGTGCTAGCCCAACTTCACTTTGGCATGCTGTGCATTTTTTATGATATTTGACGCGACTGTATCAGGATAATAGTCTGAGCAACTTGGACTCTTACAAATTGCCTAAAAGATTTGGATATGGTCCAGCGAAATATGGCAATGTACACACACTACATGTATATATTCATCAGTCATATCAGTATGAAGTCGCTAACTTGGTCTGGAATCAGCTCGCTCCGAATCAACTCCATCTCAGGTCAACTCAGTCCCAAGTCAAGTGCCTCAAGACTCAGACTTGAACTTAGACTTGGACCTTCTGGACTCGGTCTCACCTACTCTTGAAGGCAGGCACTTAGCTGCAGCATGAATAAAAAATCTTCCAAGCTAGTTTCGACACACTTTAGCTTAATGTATTAAAGTACATGTATGTCCAGAATTCTAACATTGCATGTACACTTTATTTGCACATTAGGGCACCCTTTTTATATTCTATGGTTCTCATTTCCGACCGACCCTATTTTGGGCTCCCGATCATGGAAAAAAAAGGCTTTTTTCCGACTTACTAAAAAGACCTAAACCCAAAAAAAACTGAAGGGAAAAAATGGCCAGCATGACCTTTAAAAACAACAGCCCTGAAAACTTACGATTTCGCAAACAACCAACAGCGACGGTTGGCGTTCGCGTGAACATTCGGTATACCGCACCTTTCCGTGGCCTACTGAGGTTCGTGCATAGCCCTACACCAGCAACATGGATTTTTTTAAAGAATTTTTTTTTGACCGACCGACCTTATTTCAAGTGGTAAAAGAAATGAGAACCATAGACTTTAATAAGGATGCCCTTATAAGCCTACTGACATGTGCCTGAGATGCCTGGCCTTGTAATTTGGGAAGGCCAGACACTTAGATGCATATTATTTATTACCGTAGATGAGAAGGCAAAATTACACACGTGGTGCTCCTTTATACTGCTGCAGTGCTAGCTGCCCGAGAAAACCAAAACACTCAGTGGAGGTCACACACTACAAACGAACTTCAACTTTCTTTAATTTTGTACATGTAGTTTGTGATGGTTTGAAATTTTGAATATTGCACCTTTTGTGGGATTTTATATTATTAAAATTATTGAATATTTTCCCAATTTTTCCGTCTAAAGTTCTGTAGTCAAATAGCCAAACCCTGCTCTCTTAGTTGAATTGTTTACTGGACATGTATTGTATGTGTTAAATATACCTCTCTCAGACGGCGTGGGGCTAGTGCCTGCCCAATTTCCACAGGTAAGCGTTTCAAACTTTTTGCTGTATTTTGCATTGCTTTATTTTGGCACTTAGTGGAATATTTGTAAACGTTTATTCCCTCATTTAATCCGCTTGTGATTATAGACCAGTTTGATGGCAGATTAGAGTAAATTAATGATTTTTTAAAAGGTGATATTTGGAAGTTAATTTAGAGAGGGGCGGTGGAAGGCTGTAGGATTTTGTGGCCATGTATCAGTAGCATACATACATGTACAGTACATGTGGCGTGACTGCGTGCTGCCTGACTGCACGGGCGAAGGAATAGTGAAGGATAGATGGTGTATTACACTGGTTTTAAGGTTTTTGCAGTGAGGAATAATTCAACTGGAAATGGATAACTGTTTAATGAGGATTGTCAACCATTTTTCTTTATGTTGAACCAGGATGTCTCTGTGCTGTAGGTTATGGACTATATCTTGTGCATTTATTTAGGGACATTTGACTGGATGTGATGAATGATAGGGTGTGTGAGTTTTGGTCAGCCAGCGGCCTGGG